AATATCTTAATTTGTGTTCCGAAGATGAAGGAAGGTCTTACGGGGTTGGAGCAACATGAGAGCGAGTAAATACTGACAGAGTTTTCATTTTTGGGTGAACTATCCCTTTAAGGCCCTTGAGGAGAAAGAGAATAATTTCGATAAAACCACCCTTTTCTTAAGGAGTCATTGACCTTTTACTATAAAATCTGCAAAACTGATGTAAATCCCTTCGGTTTTGTCTCCTGATGCTTGATGAATTCCGCCTCCCTCTGTGTTTTCTGACCTTCGAGCGATATTCAGGGTTATTGATTTAAATCCGGCTGCTCTCCGGTGCTTTGGACTGTGACACTTTCAAGCCGCAGACCAAAGGATGCTAGAGCATCTCGGCAGAAAGTCAGAGCCTCACTTTGAGTTCCCTGCCGATCAATTGGCAAAGTGGACATCAACAACCTTCCCAGAAAAAATCCTGGTTTTACAACACAAGGTTGGTTGTTAGAAGGGTCCGCAGTACTAAGTAGTTTGTTAAATTAATGTAAATTATGAATGGAAAATCTATCAAATGAAAATGACAAAAAAATTTATAAATAAAAAGCAATTCTAAATGCTATTATGGTATCTCAGAGATAGGCTACTAAAATAAATGTGCTTTGCATGTCAGCTTCAAGCATAAAGTAATCTGATTACATATTGCATGTTACTTGTAATGCGTTACTTTGCTTGTTACATCAAAAATTTAATCTGATAACATATCGCATGTTACTTGTAGTGTTTCTTTGCTCGTTACATCAAAAAGGTAATCTGATTACATATCACATGTTACTTGTAATGTGTTACTTTGCTCATTACATCAAAAAAGTAATCTGATTGCATGTCGCATGTTACTTGTAATGCGTTACTTTGCTCGTAACGTCAAAAAAGTAATCTGATTACATATTGTATGTTACTTGTAATGCGTTACTTTGCTCGTTATGTCAAAAAAGTAATCTGATTACAAATTGTATGTTACTTGTAATGCGTTACTTTGCTCGTTACATCAAAAAAGTAATCTGATTGCATATCGCATGTTACTTGTAATGCGTTACTTTGCTCGTTACATCAAAAAAGTAATCTGATTACATATTGTATGTTACTTGTAATGCGTTTCTTAGCTTGTTACATCAAAAAAGTAATCTGATTACATATCGCATGTTACTTGTAATGTGTTTCTTTGCTCGTTAAGTCAAAAAGGTAATCTGATTACATATTGTATGTTACTTGTAATGCGTTAATTTTGCTCGTTATGTCAAAAAAGTAATCTGATTACAAATTGTATGTTACTTGTAATGCGTTACTTTGCTCGTTACATCAAAAAAGTAATCTGATTGCATATCGCATGTTACTTGTAATGCGTTACTTTGCTCGTTACGTCAAAAAAGTAATCTGATTACATATTGTATGTTACTTGTAATGCGTTTCTTAGCTTGTTACATCAAAAAAGTAATCTGATTACATATCGCATGTTACTTGTAATGTGTTTCTTTGCTCGTTACTCCCAAAAAGTAATCAGATCATATTGCATGTTACTTTTAATGTGTTAATTTGCTCGTTACATGAAAAAAGTAATCTAATTACGTCAATGCATGTTACTTGTAAAGCAAATGAAAATGAAAAAAATTAAAAAATAAAAAGCAATTCACAATACTATAGTATCTCACTGAGAGGCTACTAAAATAAAAGTGCAGTGTATGTGAGCTTGAGGCATGCTCAAATCTCCACTTCTCTCCTGGATTACGATCAGCTATTTTAAAAGCTAGTTTTGCTTGAAAGGCAGTGGCCTGTTATCGTAATGACTCCAGACCTGGTCAAATGGGAGCCTCAGAGAACCCACGGCAATTTTCCACACACAAAACTTTTCAGCCCTAACGGGATTTTTCCTCTAATGGCAGACACGAGGGACAGCAGTGCGGTTCAGCTCCATTTACAAAGTGCCGAGAGCCTTTTCACTCCGAGCTCGCTGTGAGTCATGACACATCTGCTGAGCGGTTTGTCGTCAGTCCCGCACTTTGGTGAAGTTTTAATGAAGGTGCTGCGTTTGGTCCTCGAGTCCACAGGGCTGTTAGAGCCGTGTTCTTGGCGTGTGTATTGATGATCCCGCTGAATAGGTGTCTCTGAGCCGAATTTTTCGCCATGTGCATTGTGTGATATTTCATTCATCGTGAGTGAGAGAGAGAAAGGTGGGGAAGATTGAAAAACGAGCTGTGGATGACACTGCTCATAACAAGGGCAGATGTAAGAGTCGAGTGGGTTGATGGTCCGTGTTACGATGATGGTAGAGGAACTGAACTTGCGTTAAACATGTCGCTGATGCACAAGGTGACCAATGCTATTTGACATCCGCTGTTCCTGGATTACGTAACGCGCATCACAGAACAGAGCAAGGCGAGCATTTGAGCTTACAAAACTTAAACTTTGTTATTTATTTATTAAATGAGCCCCATATTCATCATCTGGAATCGTTTAAAGCCCTTTGAACAGTTTGCAGTTTGTACTGAAACTCTCATTTGGACCTTGAACCGTTTGGACCCCATTGAAGTCTATTATATGGAGAAAATCTTGGAATGTTTTCACCAAAAACCTTAATTTCTTTCCGACTGAAGAAAGAAAGACATGGGCATCTTGGATGACATTTTTTTTTCTACTCCTTTAATTAGCCTAGCTTTCATCCTAGATTTAACCCTTTCACGCATAGGGGTCGCTACAGTGAACAGATCATTAAAAAGCCGTTCTTTTGTATGCATTAGTTTTGATATCATAGTTGCACATCAACCACTACAGTGGACTCTAGTGCATCATCTTATATACTGCCATCTAGTGGTAAGCCTTAGTATGTGGGATTTTTTTTATTTTCTCCAAACCAAGATGGCCGACGGCTAGTCGGAAATGCCAAAGTTGCTCCGGAATATCCATTCCTTCTATCCAATGAGACTCTTGCAGGTAATGAAACAAAATGTTGTAACATCAAGTGACATCTAAGGACTCATATCACTGTTAAATTCTCCAAGTATTGATTTTAGATTGGGAGGAAATTCTGATTAATCCGTCTACTAAATTGGACACCATGCATCCCTAGCTATATTTCAGCTACGGTTCACTGTAACTGTGATTGTTGTCCTTGAAAATACTTAATTTGCAGTAACTTTTGCCTGTAAATGAATGTATTTGTATTATTAGAATCGAATCGCAATTTGCAGTAACCCCAAAAAGTAATCTGATTACGTAATGCATTTTGAATTTTTGTGTGGTCAGTAAACATTAATTTTTTTAATGAAATAACACTTTTTCTGCAAGGATACATTAAATGATCAAAGATGTCAGTAAATACATTTATAATGTTACAAAAGATTTATATTCCAAAAAAATCAGCTTTCAATTAATTAAAAAAAAAAAAGTATCATGGTTTTCACAAAATTATGAAGCACCTCGACATTGATAATAATCATAAATGTTTCTTAATCATCATATGAGAATGATTTCTGAATGATCATGTGACTGGAGTATAATGCTGAAAATACAACTTTGATCACAGGAATAAATTACATTTGAAAATATTTATATTAAGTTTTATTATATTATGCATATTATTATTTTTTAAATGCATTCTGAATGAGTTCAGGTTTAGTGACAGTGACTCAGAGGATCAATCCGCTAGTAATGAAGTGCTCACTACTTCTGGTGACCTCTGTAGTTCATGTTCACTGCTGCCTACGGGTCAGAAAGGTCACCTAGCGAGTGTGGACATGGACCCTGAGGAATATCAGCTCCATCCACGGCTCGACCCGCAACATTTACCCAAAGTTTGTCTGAAATGTCATACTGTGAAATTAACAATTCAGCCAAAGAAGAAATATGAAATATCACGAAGGGCTGGAGCTCCACTTGTGTGAAACGTAATTAGAGCTTTTCTCATGTGGTTTTGCAAGGTGTTGTCATTTTTAATGGCGTCATTGATTTGTCACGTTACACGGAGCAAAATCACCTGATGGTCACAAGCAGAATATATATTTATTTGATTTTCACAGGAAGAAAAGTATATTCTGAATCTTATCTGTCTGAAAAAAAAATAATTTTCAATTTTACATCAGTTTGCTGCACTATTTTGTGATTTCAGATTCAAGCAATGAAGCAGAACAAAAATGTTAGTTTTAGTCAAGGTATTATCATATCATATAATAAAATGTTGAATATTTGAAGAGACATTGCACTCTCATTGAATTAGAACACAGTGTTTTTTTCTTCTTGAAGCAATATTGATACTGATATATTCACAACTTGTGTTTTAAATGACATTACAATTATTTCATCACATTGTTTTTTAGAAATTACACACAATAACTGAAAAAGAGAAACGAGCAGACACTAAAGAAGATAGTTAGCCGAGTAAGAGAGTTATTTTAGTTTGCCTTCACTTCACATAAGAATTTAAAGCTAGATCTGCAGTCTTTATCAGTCCATTTGTATTGACCGTCCACCTTCTCTATGGCACCGCAGTGCTCAGAAATCAGATGTTCGGGTTGACTTCCCCCTTTCCAGTTGCTGTAGTTTCTCAAATTAAGCCCGTTGATCCAAATCCAGAATCCGAAGAGTCGACTCTGTCTGAGTCCCACCCAAACTGGCCCCGAGATATTCTTTATTTTTAGCTCTCGCTCCGTTTCTATCTGATCGTTCTCAGACTGGATGATCAGGAGTCCAGAATAGCGTGTTTCGCAGTAATCCAGAGCTTTCTCCCAGGACATATTCTCCTTACTGACATTAATGAAGCTTTCTGACAAAAAGTATACAAAAAAAGCTTAAAATATTTCACTTTGAATTACAAAAGCATGCGATGCTAGACCAGAACTTATCTGAATTTCAAAGGAAGTGTTGTGTTGACTTACTATAGCAGAGAGGATATTTCACATCACCATTACTACCAAACCATTTCCCAGTTATTGAAAACATGAAAGCTGAAGTATGAGGGTTCTCGGTGTTAAGTGTAGAGATATCCCAGTTTCTGTAAGCAGATTGTCCTTTATCAGCCCACTCCACCTCGTCCTCCAGCAAGCCGATCCAGAAAGAGTTGGTACAGTTTTCCCCTTTCATCATCACTCGTTCATTCTCCTCTTCATCTCTGATACTGACTAGATCAGTGTGATTCTCTCGACAGTATCGCTGAGCCGCAAACCAGTTTTTGTATTCAGGGATTAACATGTATGATCGTTCATCACCTACAGCTGCAAGAAAGTTATATAGTTTTAATTAATTGTGAAATTAAATATTTATAAGGTTATATTTTATTACCTTGTTGATAACACATAAAGTATGTTCGGTTGCTACATGGGAGAGATTCCCAGTGTCCAGTGGCATTCATCGCAGTACAGCTGATATTCCCATTATCTCCTGTAGAGCTTCTGTTAAATGTGACATCATCACCGTTTGACCATTTCTTACTGCGATTTCCTGCATGAGTACCAATCCAGCCACTAGGATTGTCACCAGTAAATGTTTCTTTTATTAGGTCAGATAGTTTCATATTGTCCTGGTGGTCGTAGACTGTGACGAGGCCAGTGTAGTTGTTTGTTGTGCATTGTTCCTCAGCAGAACTTCTATTCATTGTTCCGTTTATTATGTAGAATTTTCTCAGTCGACCCTCAGCCGTCGAAGGAGGAAATGCTGAGGAGAAATATCAGTTTCAGAATTTACTGGACATAACATGTGCATACAGTATTTTATGTACATAATGAAATAATGTATAACTTTGCATATAAAAACTGGATAAATCTTTACATATGCAGTAAAAATAAATCTATTTCAACTTAAAAAGTTAACTTCAGTTGATGCCTTACATTTTAAAGTATAATCAAATTGGATGTACTAAATTCAACTTAAATAATATAAAACTGACTTGGATCTCTTATAACTTAAAAAGTTGAAATTACTTGAATAATTTTGATGAGTTACAGTAAACATAATTTGTCATGATGGTCATATTAATTTGTCGTGCTGTGGAAATGCTATTTATCATTTATAAAACATTACAATCCTGCCTTTTGATGACCAGTGCGATGCAGATAATGATAAGAACAATATGCAATGAATCATTTATAATGTTAATTGTTCTTGCTATTGTTTTGTTGTATTTATTTGTAGAAGAACATCGTTCTGGTTTTGCTTCTGCTCTGTGTGACCGTGTGGATGAATACGGTTATATACTGCACAGAAAACACTCGGCTTAAAGGAGAGTTTGCCAAAAAAATACGATTATGTCAGTAATTACTCACCATCGCGTTGTTCCAAACCTGTAAGACCTTTGTTCATCTTCTGAACACATTGAAGATTGTTTGGATGAAATCTGAGAGCTTTCTGTCCGATGATAAAGCGATGATAAAATTAATCCATATGAATTGAGCCCAAACTTTTTCTGAAAAGACTTGATTCTGTTATGAGCATATTTAATTTAGGCTTTTATTCACATTAAAACATTCATCAGCTCATACATCAGTTGTGGTAATGATAAAATAATTTTAAAATCACCTTTAATAATAAATGATTTTAGATATGCAGTAAAAAATATAAACACAAATAGTGTACTATGCACAATTAAAGCGATCTCCATCTTAACTACACAGAGAATGTAAAAAAAAAAAATACAAAAAGCCTAAATTCAATCTGTTCATAATTTAAAGGAATCAAGTCTCCTAAAAAAATAGTTAAATTCATGTGGATTTAGATTTCTTTATGAACAACTTTCTGAAGCGTCAAAGTTGTAGTGTGTCAATTGAGAGACAGAAAGCTCTCAGATTTTATTTGTGTTCAGAAGATGAACGAAATACTTACGGGTTTAGAACGACATGAGGATGAGTAAATGACAGAATTTTAACTTTTGGGTTTTGCGTTACAGTATGTGAAATATGACCTTTAACACATGGACATTATAGACTTGTGCCTGTCCACGACCTTGATGATAAAATAATTTGAATGACTTTAACTTTTTTTTCATTTTTTTTTTTCATATTTGCTCAGCAACATATGATATCATGGTTCAATACTCACCCCAGTTAATGAACAGGGCCGACAGAAACACCAGAGCGATGTTTGACATATTGTAAACCAGAATCTGATATTATAAGAATTTCGTTCTTGTGATCTGATGAAAAAAAAAAGAGAATTTGTGAAATCATAATCAGCTCAGTTCATGTATATGTACAGTATGTCCATCATCTGTTTGCTGACTTGAGAAAACAATATTATCTAAAGGTTAAAAATATTGATAAAATGCATTTTTGACTGAAGATGAACATAGTAAAGTTCAGTCTTACCTGATGAGAAGATGACTTCAGCTAAACATGTGCGGAAGAAAACCTGATACTTTTATAGAGAACTGCGGGCTGGTGCAGTTAATCAGTAACTTTACATGTTACTGTATTATATGTCAGAAATATTTAGTGTTGTGCATGTTTCCACTGTATGCATCAGTTTATGCATTTGATAATGCTCATGTTTAGAGACAATAAAATGGTGGTCAGAAAAGGGACAAATTTCAGTATAGAGGTGCAGAAAGTTGTTAGTGTCTATCATTTGCTTAGGATGGTGCTAATGTGATGTGGTTGTGGTGTGAATATTACAACGTCAGAACCGCTATGATAAAAAAAAATAAAAAAAAAAGTAGAAGACATTGATGTGTGCTAAACCCTTGATGTCATCTTGTATACATATATACACTCCAAGAATTATGGTCAGAGCTTCTTCCATTCAACAATAAATTCAAATCTGTAGTTTGTATTGCTAGAAAAGCAACATACCTTCCTCCTGCTCCTCAGAGCCTGCTTTCATTCGTTCGTTCAGAGTTTGCATAAACAAATGACCTCAGTCAAATATCATCTATAATGAGTCCATATTCAAACGCACTGTCCTGTTTATTCTCTCTAAACCCTAAACTGCAGATCATTCGCTGATTTCACAGCTAACAGGAAACGTTCTGACAAAGTTAATAACAAACGTAATTACAGTAATTTTAACTGAACGTCTGTTCAAATTAATCCGGTCTTTAAAAGGGTTAGTTCATCCCAAACTCAGTAATTACTCTCCCTCATGTTGTTTCAACCCCATAAGACTTTCGTTCACCTTCTTAACACAAAGTAAGATATTTTTGGTTAAATCTGAGAGCTGGATCACTCCTCCATAGGCTGCTTAAGGGATCGAAACTTGCCGGCCCAGAAAAGTTATTAAAAACATCGTTAAAATAGTCCAGGTGACTATTCCAGTGCAGTCATTCAGATTATTCTCGTGTTTTAATACATAAATTGTCTGTTTTGATGGTTAGTGTGTCTTAGTTAGCCCCTGCTGGCAGATGTTGTAACTACATCATTGGTGACAAAAGCATTTTCTCATCTCTATTGATGAATTGTTGTATGATAGTTGTTCATCAAAATGAACAATTCTTAAAAACGAGTCATTTTGTTCATTCAACGAACGAACTCGGAAAAAGATTGGTTCATTTTGATGAATGCGCATCACAGAACAGAGCAAGGCGAGCATTTGAGCTTATAAAACTTAAACTTTGTTATTTATTTATTAAATGAGCGATCGTTTTGCTTGATAAGACCCTTATTCATCGTCTGGAATTGTTTAAAGCCCTTTGAACAGTTTGTAGTTTGCACTGAAACTGTCTTTTGGACCTTGAACCGTTTGGTTCCCATTGAAGTCCATTATGTGGAGAAAATCCTGGAATGTTTTCATCAAAAACCTTAATTTCTTTCTGACTCAAGAAAGAAAGACATGGACATCTTGGATGACATGGGGGTGAGTAAATTATCAGGAAAAGTTTTTTGAAAAGTGAACTACTCCATTAACATCAACTCTAAAGGAAATCTAGTGATCTGTTATTCGGTCATTACGATGATTCTGAATGCCAGCTCACTCCAGAATTATAATATAAACCTTCTGGGCTATGCACTGAATGGTATCAGTACTCATAATTCATATTAAGTGTATTTTATGATGTTGGGCCCATTGGGAACTGCAGAGGAAGGCGTGTTGAGATAGCCACTGTCCTGCTGTGATTTAGGGATAGAATAAAGCGAAGCTCATGAAAGGGTCTGGATCAGAGTTCAGAGTTGTGATGGATCGCAGACGCTGGCCGAGTTTGTTCTCTACATGACTGATGCTCCTGTATTTGCTCACACAGGAGACTTCGGCTGGTTGTAAACTGTGTTGCTCGTGTTATTTAATCACGGTGATCAAAGTGCATCTTTCCCTTAGCCTCAGCGCTATATGGGATTGTCAATAAGTGCAGTGCTGAGTCTGCATTATGTGATGTAGGGTTTCTGTCACACACACCAGCATCACATATGCCCAACTTCTCTCCCTACAGCAGTTTTTCTAACTTAATAAAGCATCGAAAAGTGTGACACTGATGTATAATGTCCCTTTTTGTGCTGTAATGTGATTCAAATGCAATATTTTGCATTTGTGATGTGCGTGTACCATGACTTTCTGTATGTTTAGAGACTGAGATCTACAAAATATCATGTTGACATCATTTAAAATATAACATTTTATACATCTTTACAAATTGAAATCGTCCACAATCTTAAACTCTAATTAATCAGAAGAGAAACTTTGTCTCAGAAAGATCTTTTTAATGGCAAATTTATCATCAAAGCTCAACAAGTATATGTAAGAAAAACGATTTTACAGTGTAAAAATGAATTTATCTAATCAATAAAATTGTGGCAACAGATTACAAGCAATATTATTTATTAAATTGAACAAATTAAAATTGAGTAATAGTTAATCACATTTTTTCAAAAAATGTTTACAATTTAATTAATAATATTGCTTGTAATATGTTGCCACAATTTTATTGATTATATAAAGCATATTATTTTTTTCAGTACAGTGTGTAATGTAATGACAATCCAAATGTGTAAATGTGTTAACAATCTAATTTATTATAAATACTATTCAAATTAAAAATCCTTTGAATTTCATATTCACTGAACTTCCAAAATTCTTTAACATTTTTTATACATAGCTTGTAGCATGTCCATATTTCAATGTAGATCCATCCATAGACCCATACATTTTTTATTTAAAGCCTACAAATACGTTTCTTCAACCATTTTCTGATTGTATTTTATGAAACCTTATAAAAACCTCCTAAAATATATTCTATGATTTACTGAGTCATAAATAGCCAATGAATTAAAATACAATACAGTTCTCTATTGTTAGTACAAGTACAAACGCTATCAATAACTCAATGATATAATATGCATTTATGAACAACTTATTCATTTTTAGTATGAGACATAAAGGTTTACAAAAGTTAAAGGATAAAATAAACAAGATAAACATAAGAATCAAATATGCAACAGGACCATGAGGATACCATTAGCTTTATGAGCTTTATTATACAAGACATGAAGATCGAGCGATTTACTGTTGAACAGAGAAATTAAATCTGCATATGATAAACCGGCCTGTATTACTCCCCCTCACATAAGACAGTAAATTCAGATTTACAGTCTTTATCACACAGTTTGTATTGACCGTCCACCTTCTCCATGGCACCGCAGTAAAAGGAAATCTCTCCTGGTTGACTTCCCCCTTTCCAGTTGCTCCAGTTTCCCACATGACGCCCGTCGATCCACATCCAGAATCCGAAGAGTCGACTCTGTCTGAGTCCCACCCAAACTGGCCCCGAGATTCTCCTTCTTATCAGCTCTCGCTCCGTTTCTATCTGATCGTTCTCAGACTGGATGATCAGGAGTCCAGATGTATTGGGGTAAGTGTCGCAGTAATCCAGAGCGTCCTCCCAGGACATTTTCTTCTTACTGACATGAATGAAGCTTTCTGGGGAAAAAAAATAATAAGAAGAATAATAAAATATAATTAGTTGCATGTTTTGATTTATTGAAGCATATGACTTGTTGCATATTAAAGCATGAAATATTGTGTTAACTTACTGTAGCACAGAGCAAGATAGGAACCATTGTTAGCTTTGAACCAATATCCTCCGTGTGTATTGTTCTTGCTTGAGAGATATGTAAAGCATCCTTGAGATGAACTAATCTGTTTGTAATCTGAATATCCACCATCAAACCAATCAAGGCTGTTATTGTACTGGAGGCCGATCCAGAAAGAGTCATTCCCATTCCTTGCTTCCTTCACTCGATCATTTTCCTCTTCATCTCTGATAGTGACTAGGTCAGTGTGATTCTTTCTACAATACATCTGAGCCTCAAACCAGCTTCTGTTTTTACGGATTAAACTGTATGATTGTTGCCCATGACCTGAATGAATACAGACAGTAATTTAACTCACGTGTGGCATTTAGATATTTATAGGATATAAACAGCTCAGGGATCATTACCTTGATCATAACACATGAAGTACTTTTTTGTTGAAGTACAATTGATACAGTCCCATCTTCCATTAGTGTTTATGACACCACAGCATTTTTCCTTGTTAAAAGTTTCGCTGTAATTGGTGAATGTGACAAGCTCACCGTTTGACCATTTACAGCTGCTGGCACCAATCCAACCACTCACACTATTCGTATTATTTTTGAGAATATTAACTGACTCATTATTCTCTTCTTCATCATATATTGTGACGATGTCAGTGTAGTTACTTCTGCAAACATTTAGTGCTTCATTCATTTGCATTGTTTCATTGATCGAGTAGAATCGTCTCAGTCGGCCCGTAGCCGTTGAAAGGGGAACGCCTGAGGACAGATATTCAGTCTTAAGTTAAATACTATTTTACATCTTGAAGAGCATTCATATCTTTCAAAAACATTTACAAGTGAAACTTTAATAAACAGAGATTACAGACTAAAGCTTACCTTGTAAAATTAAAAATATCTATAATTTCTAAATATAATAAGAATACTAAATGTACTGCTACATTTTCAACATGCATAAACATGTTTTGTGAGCGTTTTTTTTTATATAAAGATACTAATTAAATATTAATATTAAATACTCACCCCAGAGAAGAAGCAGGACAGGTAGAAGTATCATGGTCATGCGCCGTTAGTTTTATTATATTTTATTGAATGGTCTCAATCGTATTCATGCAGTGTGATGAAAAATGTTTGTTGTTTGGTCTGTTGATTCAATGAGGAGTTTGACTGATAGTGGATTGGAGGAAATAGAAAACAGAAAAATATGAGAGAATGCAAGATATCAAAAATGTATCAATTAATCATTATTAATCTCTCTTATATTAATACAAAGGCTAAAGACTTCTTGTATGACATAATTTCATACACATCTAAATGCGTATCGCACAAACAAGCAATGACAGTAAATGCAATCAGATTTGCTTATAGGCCAACAAACAGTCTATGTTAGTATAATTTACAGTGTAGACTAAGTAATAAAAACTGATCATAAACAGAGAAAGAAAAGATCCTTCTTACCTGTTGAGTAGGTTGGTTTTTTTGTGCTGAAAGAAGGAAATGCCAGAATTATTCAAATCTTGTCATAATTTTAAGATAGGCAGAGACAGACAGGCACATTGAGTCTGATAACACATATTAATGATATCATTGCATACAAAATAAAAGGTGTAACACTAAATTGTTTACGTGTCATATCACAAAAGGACTGTTCTTACTGTATAGCTAATAATATAGTTTCCCGTTTTACTCATAAAGTAGATCTGTGCATTTTTTTCATAAAAAGGTTAACCGAAAAGGTAGAGTTACTGTTATGTAAAGCAGACTGCACTCCAAACAATGATTTTATGAAGAGTTCACTGACATTGAAGGAAGAAAGGCCGAGAGATTAAATGCTTTTGAAAATGAACTACAGTTTTCATTTGCAGAATGTAAAGTCTTCCACATTTTAGTAGAAAATAATAATTCTTATACTTTATATCTCAGAGCTTGCTTTCATTCACTTTTGGAAATATTTGCATAAATTTCCTGCTTTAGTCAGATATGAATAACATCTAATGTTTCCTTATTCAAAATATCTAGTCCTGCAATATTTCATTCTGATGTCTCACGTCCACAGAAGCACTAATTATTTTACACATTTTTAACATTTAAAAAATTAATAATAAGGAGAAAGGAGTCACTTTATTGGTTGGCACCTAGCCAATGAAATGAATGAAGAAAATGAACTTCTTTTGTATGAGATGATGTCACGACACACCGTGATAGAGATGATGATCAAAACCAAACAGCTGTTTTAGTTTTTGGCAGAGGATCCGAGGCACAAGCATAAAAGAAATGGACACAGCGACTCCCCATAGACTTCAACGGAGAAAAGTGAAGTCAATTAGAAGCTTCCTGACGGCCGAACGACTGCGCAGACTCACACTGAGCTTGACGACGGAGATGTGACGTGAGTAACCTGTCTGACAGCTGTACGTCTTCTAGTCGCTGTGCCGAGAGGAATCTGAATCATTCCCTTCCGAATCTCTCAGAGCCGGAGAGCGAGAGTAGAGCTGTCAATCAACAGCAGGATCAGCTTTATCCCAGCAAACAAATTTAGGTTCTGGGAACGTTTGGTTCCCAGAACGTTCCTAGAACTTTCCCTTCAGGTTAAGGCAACATTTCCGGAACATTCTCCTCATTGCGTTATAAAAATGGAACCTAAAAATAACATACATGGAATGTTTCTATAACGTTCTTGTTTGGTAAACTCCCCACGTTCTCCCCAGCCTCAGAAAAGCAGCTAAATGACCATTGATGAAACTCAAGAACAAAATAACCTCATGGGACCATTCGGGAACGTTTTGTGTTTACTGGGACTCTCTATGGGCTTCTCCCTTGACTTTATGCCTCCACGTCCCCCCTGATTGCCTGCGAGCTTCTCCTCCTGTCTAAACGGTTATTTCTCTACTGTGCGACAGAGAGTCTTAAAGGGTACATATCATGCTTTTAAATCATTCATTTTTACATATAAATCATACCGTTGTGGTCTATATAAAACATAACTGCAATGCTTGGGTCTGAATTCATCATTATTATAGCTCCACAAGCCCCTTTTCTGATGTGCGTCTGTGAGCGACCCGTTTCAAAGCGGCCCCTTTAAATAAAAAGATGATGCGCTCTCCAGGTCGCTGAGTTCACGGTCAGTTCAACTCCCCACGTTCGGCCATTATTGTAGTTTGATTAGAGATATACGATTATATACGATACCTTCAAAGAACATTTTTATTCACACGTTAATAAAATGTCAATAACAGAAGACTTGTCCATCAAGCCTTACATATTCGAGCCAGAGCGAGCGAGTCGATAAAGACGACGACGAGCCTGCAGAACAACCACTTCATATGGACATATTGGTATGCGAGTTAACTGTTTTGTGTTATTAGTGAAAGTCGACTTCTCTTGTTAAAACAAGCACACTGACGAGATAAATGACTACGGTCTAATCTTACCACAAACAATCTGTATTGATAATATGATACGTTTAGAAAAGCATCAGAAAACAATGCAGCTAACGTAAATGACCATTGATGAAACTCAAGAGCAATAATACTGCAGACGTGTAACGTTACTTCAAAACAAAAACAAAAAAAGACAAAGGTACTGCTAAACCATGACCACCATGTGTTTTAAGAAAGTAAAGAACTTTATTTTTATTAACGATATTTACAGCTTATCGAAATGCTTTGTTCGTCGTCTCCAAAGATAGAAGGAATTGACCTCTCATTCAGACGAAGTCAATCGGCAAACCCTTCTTTATACTGGCTGAGGTTGTTGAAGTGGGAATCCTTGAGGTGCTTCAGGTCACTACATCCAACAACCGAATATTTTGACTTGCCCTCTCGTAACTTCTGCATCATTGAGCTCGGACTACAAAATCGGAGCGAGAGATAATAATGGCGGATTGCTTGAAGTGTTGGACCGGTAGTTAATGTCCTTATTTGGCAGTTCAGCTGCAAATACGGTGACGCTGTAGCTCAAAAAACGTCATAGACAACAGAAAAATCTGAAAAGGTTAAAAAATATGACCAAAACAGAATATAAAGATATAAACGAAGCACCTGAAGAGAATAATTTCTTATTAGGGCTAAAAAAGTGGATTTTGCATGATATGTGCCCTTTAAAACGAAAAAGAATTAAAACGAATTAATCTCCATAAACATTAAACCGACTGAAAACGCGGATCACGTGACCATTCACCAACACTGGGCATGCGCGCCGGTGTTATCAGGAAACAGATTGACTATTCCTCAGATTTAGAAGATAGTAGCCTCTGCAAAGAGCAACGCTCCATGTTCGGTCGATACCGAGAACCGATACTGGGAATTGTCACAGATCGCTCGAATAATAGTGTGCATGTAGGCAGTTATAGCATTGTAAAATGCAGATTTTACTTGCACAACGGCTGCTAGCAAAACATTAAAGTCAGTAACGCTTGTAATTCGTTATCCATGTTGCGGTCACTAACGTAACTAGTCTAGGCTGTTGTTTGTTTTCTTCCGGGGACGGGTCATGTGATAGGTGGCTGACGAATTAGGGAAGGATACGCCATGACTGATGACACCCAATCAGAGAGTCCTCCGTTTTGACCCGTCTTCACTAAAACGCCCTTCGGAGATTCAAAACGCAGCGTTTCTAAACTTCTCCGTTTTAGGTCTTCGTTTTAATCTGGACGGGAGGTGCAAACGTAGCAAAAGGTCTCCGTTTCTAAACTAAAAAATAGTAGTGTGGATGGGGCCTCAGATGTAAAGTTATTTACTCAAAAGTGATGACAAAATGAATGGGAGTCAATGAACTGTAAAGGCTCCGCCCTCTTTTGGATTTGCATTTAAAGATACAGTATATGCTTTAGGGCTGCAACAACTAATCGATAAAATCGATTATAATCGATTATGAAAATCGTTGTCAACGAATGTCATTATCGATTAGTTGGTCTGATTACGTCACGGGGATTGTTTACATGCTACATGCGCTTCTTACATGCGCTTCTTACATGCGCTTCATGAGGCACACACGCAGTCTCTCTCCCTCACTGGTCTGTGCGCAACACGGACGGTTTGGAGCACATTATCTTCTGTCTCGCATGCACACTCTTGATTCCGTGAGTTTGAACTAATTTGCGGGCATCAGGAAACCGCTATCAATATGCAGCATACACGAAAATCATTCACCTTTCGGCAAATTCGCCGTTTTGAAACCAAAATAGGTGACCTGCGTTAATCGTGTATACTTTATGAAGCCATACTGTAGTATAATGTGAGATAGAAATGTATATTTAAGTCATTAAATTCAAGTTAACGTAAGCTTTTCCCTCCACTGCGGCTGTCAGTCATTCTCTATTCGGTGTTCAAACAGCGCGTCGCGTTACAACAGTTAACATGATGATCTCTTTCCAAGATGATTCAATGTTATTATTATAATTGATCCGTAGATAAAGGTCTATGGTTTCGTAATATAATGACTATCTTGCTAGACTTTTATTGTAACTTAATCACTTTCTACTGAGTGTCTGTTAGATCACAACACTAGAGTAGACTCGGCGCACTATAATTGTTCTTCACGTGCACAGTAGCCTAACTGAAATTTAAAACTGTTAAAAGAAAAGGCTTAATAAACTATTGCAAAGATACTGTATAATACACAGTCAATATTGCTTCCTCACTAAACAGCTGTGCATCTGATTTTTACGATGTTTTTCATGAATGTATAACAACAATACAAAGAGCAATGTGTAACGTTTTACCAGAGATAGTGCTACACTTATTGTCTCTTATTTTTTCCCCACTAAGGAATGTTTTTTTCACTAAATGTTCAGATTTTATAAAATTATTGTGCACTTGTGATTTTTCTAGGCTAAGTTTTTCTGAGTTATCCACTAATCTAGTTTACAATAGCATTTTGTCATAGGTTATGGTCATATATATTTTTTTTATTTGTTGTTTTTCTATATAATGAAGTTGTCTGTATTAAGAAGATTGTTTAACACACAAAAGAGTATGGTTTTTAGGGTTTTATTTAGTTATAATAAACAAAAAAATGAAAAAAATTTTATCCGATTAATCGAAAAAATAATCGTCCGATTAATCGATTATCAAAATAATCGTTAGTTGCAGCCCTAATATGCTTGGAATCAGTATGTTTTTCTTTCAACTCAAAAATTGGCATTTGCAACATGGTATAATATATAATCTGTGAGGTATTTTGAGCTGAAAGTTCACAGACACATCCTGAGACTCATATTACATATTGTAATAAAGATGCATAATTGGTCTCCTATAAATTTATAGGAGACCAATTATGCATCTTTATCACAATATGTAATATGAGTCTCAGGATGTGTCTGTGAACTTAAGGATAAAGGCTGGCATTAAAGGAAATAAAGGAAAAAGTCAATGTAGTTCCTAGAATTTTTTAATTGTTTATTTTTTTAGACAGGTCAATATTTTAGGATAACACACTCATTACATTTATGAACTGTCTGTGTCTCTGCTTACAGATTTGCCGAGTACAAATACCTATCAACACAATATTATCAGTTAATATAATATGCATTCATGAACAACTTTTCATTTTTCACTAAAAAGACATAAAGGTTTACAAAAGTAAAACAAATCAGATAAGCATAAAAACCATAAAGGCAACAGGACCACTATGCCGAGGCGAAGAGCATTACCAAGTAGAAACTTGCGGTAGTTTAGAGAGCTTTATTATACAATAAATGAAGATAAAGCGATTTACTGTTGAACACATGAGCATTTTTTCCTCTTGTTTGGGAGGCAGAGAATCAAAAACTGCATGATAAACTGAAGGGCCTATATTACTCCCCCTCACATAAAACTGTATACTGCATTTTACAGTCTTTATCACACAGTTTGTATTGACCGTCCACCTTCTCCATGGCACCGCAGTAAAAGGAAATCTCTCCTGGTTGACTTCCCCCTTTCCAGTTGCTCCAGTTTCCCACATGACGCCCGTCGATCCACATCCAGAATCCGAAGAGTCGACTCTGTCTGAGTCCCACCCAAACTGGCCCGGAGATTCTCCTTCTTATCAGCTCTCGCTCCGTTTCTATCTGATCGTTCTCAGACTGGATGATCAGGAGTCCAGATGTATTCGGGTGAGTGTCGCAGTAATTCAGAGCTTTCTCCCAGGACATATTCTCCTCACTGACATGAATGAAGCTTTCTGACAGAAAGTATACAAAAAAAGATTAAAATATTTCACTTTGAATGACAAAAGCATGCGATGCTAGACCAGAGCTTATTTGAATTTCAAAGCAAGTGTTGTGTTGACTTACTATAGCAGAGAGGATTGGAGTCACTACCAGTATTTTTATTCCATTTCCCAGCTGAAAACATGTAAGCTTCAGGATAACGTGAACTGGTGTCAGGGTCAGGGGATATCCAGTTTCTGTAAGTAGATTGTCCTCCATCAGCCCACTCCACCTCGTCCTCCAGCAAGCCGATCCAGAAAGAGTTGGTACAGTTTTCTCCTTTCATCATCACTCGTTCATTCTCCTCTTCATCTCTGATACTGACTAGATCAGTGTGATTCTCTCTACAGTATCGCTGAGCCTCAAACCAGTTTCTGTTTTCAGGGATTAACTCGTATGATCGTTCAACACCTACACCGGCAAGAAAGTTATATAGTTTTAATTAAGTGTAAAATTAAATATTTATAAGGTTATATAATTTATTACCTTGTTGATAACACATAAAGTATGTTTTGTTGCTACATTGGAGAGATTCCCAGTGTCCAGTGGCATTCATTGCAGTGCAGCTGATTCTCCCGTTATCTCCTGTAGAGCTTCTGTTAAATGTGACATCATCACCATTTGACCATTTCTTACTGCGATTTCCACGAGAAGTGCCAATCCAGCCCCTTTGCAAGGAATTATTTTTCATCAGGTTAAATAGTTTCATGTTGTCCTGGTGGTCATAGACTGTGACGAGGCCAGTGTTGTTTGTTGTGCAGTTTTGCTCAGCAGAACTTCTATTCATTGTTCCGTTTATTATGTAGAATTTTCTCAGTCGACCCTCAGCCGTCGAAGGAGGAAATACTGAGGAGAAATATAAGTTTCAGAATTTACTGGACATAACATGTGCATACAGTATTTTATGTACATAATGAAATAAATAACTTTAAATATGAGAACTTGATTCATCTTTAAATATGCAGTAAAAATAAATCCACCTTTCAACAAAAAAAGTTTACTTCAGTTGATGCCTTACATTTTTGACTATAATCAAATTGGCTGTACTAGTAATTTCCAGCCCATTCTCACCCCCAAGGCGTCACCTAACTGACGCCTTGGGAAGCATTTGGACATGCTTCAATATCTGACGCTTTAGGCGCCCTTTAGCGTTAGTAAGATGACGCCCTAATTTCAACTTAAATAATATAATACTTAATTACCTCATTAATTACAAACCGTCGTAAAACCTGTAAGACATTTGTTCATCTTCAGAACACAAATGAAGATCTTTTTGATGAAGTCTGAGAGCTTTCTGTCCCTCACTTGACAGTGAACTACCACTGTGAAGCTTTAAAAAGTTCATAAAGAGATGAACTAATGCTAAACTAATCTATATGAATTGAGTTGACGATTGCTTTATACGCTGAACAGATACAATTTAGATTTATAAATATTCATCAATCAGTTGTGGTAATGATAAAATAATTTTAAAATCAACTTGATTGAATCATTTTAGTACTATACTCAATATGAGCAATCTGTATCTTACACAGAAAATGTCATTATAAATAACATAAAAAATATATATATATACATATTTACATGCAAAAGATGCACAAAAAGCCTAAATTCAATCTGTGATCGATTCCCTTCAGAAAATTTGGACTAAACCGCTCAATTCATAGTTTCTGCAATCTCGGACTTCTTGAAGTGTCACAGTGGTAGTTGTGTCAATCACTCAAAAAATCACTCAGACTTCATCAAAAAAAATCTTCATTTGTGTTCAGAAGATGAACGAAAGTCTTACGGATTTGAAACGACAAGAGGATGAGTAAACGATGACATAAATGACATTTTTGGGTAAATTAATGCTTAAAGGAGGACATCTTCCCTCATCTTACCCTACACATGTGTTACGTGAAATACGAACTTTAATATATGGACATAATTGACATGCACCTGTCGAGGACCTTAATGATAAAATAATTGAACTTGTGCTATGCATGTTTATGCTTTGTATCAATGCTATAAATGTCATTAACATAAAAAACACTGTACAATTTCACATGCAAATCAGCTGTGTTTTTTCCTTTTGGATATTTGCTCAGCTGCATATGATATGATCATGGTTCAATACTCACCCCAGTTAATGAACAGGGCCGACAGAAATACCAGAGCAATGTTTGACATATTGTAAACCAGAATCTGATATTTTATCAAATGATCTGAATCTCGTTCTTGTGATCTGATGACAGAAAATGAGAATTTGAGAAATCAAAATGCCTTGATAATTACTTGTGTTCTTTTTTAAAACACCTTCAGTACTGTATATATTTCATCTGTATGCTGATTTGAGAAAACAACATTATTTAAAGGTTAAAAATATTCAGCTTTTACATTAACTGCATTCTTGACTGAAGAAAAGCATAGAAGTATAATAGAATTAATCTTCCAGAATCTGCCCATAAGTTTTGGGAGTTAATTTTTAGTCCATCTCTGCAAAACGGACTTAAAAATGAACTCCCATAACTTATGAGCAGATTCTGGAAGATGAATTATTCAAACAGTCTGTCTGTTTGTCTATAAAGCCTATAAAAAAGTCTTCATGTATTTTACTACACTTAATTTTTCTTTCATTTTTAAGGATTCTTTACCAAACCTAAATCTCTGAGATCCTGATCCCTGCTCTTCTGGAGACTCCAGGTAAGTTGCAGTCCTGGAAAAAGAACTGATTGTTTCACATTTAGCCCAATTGTTCACTTTAGTTCTTAATTTTGTTGCAGTTAAAGTTCACTTTGATATTAATTTTTGATATGTTTTATCTTACCTCAAGGGCATCCAAGATGTAGGTGTCTTTGTTTATGCAGTATTTTCAATTTTGACATTTTTCAGTCAAACCGTTGTTGTCTATCAGTCATACACTGGAGGCTAAGGGGGTCCACCAAAGAGCAGCACAGAGAAGTCCAAATTAAACATGATTTAATGACTCGTAAATGTAAGTACACATTGATGGCCTAAGACACGAAACGAGCGGTTTGTGTGAGAAAACCAACAGTATTTATATCGTTTTTACCTCGTGTAATTATAGCCATGAGAAAATAATCTGACGGCACGGCCGCTTCGGTCTGCGCATGCGCCGGAAGTGATCGCTTGCGCGCCGACGTCACTCTTTGTTAATACAGAGATTTCGGAAGTTTTACCTTTCACTAAACATATTTAGATACATGAGAAACCGCAATGGAAGACTATTTCGGTATATCTAAATATGTTTAGTAAAAGGTAAAACTTCCGAAATCTCCGTGTAAATATTGAGTGACGTAGCGACGCAAGCGATCACTTCCGGCGTAACATTGAACTGATTCAGTTCGGTTCAGTTGGACATTGAACAACTGATTCAGATCACTGTGATTACACGAGGTAAAAACAATATAAATACTGTTGGTTTTCTCACACAAACCGCTCGTTTCGTGTCTTAGGCCATCAATGTGTACTTACATTTACGAGTCATTAAATCATGTTTAATTTGGACTTCTCTGTGCTGCTCTTTGAGGTGGTGACCATAGACGTCCATTATATGACTGACAGACAAGAACGGTTTGACTGAAAAATGTCAAAATTGAAAATACTGTGGAAACAAAGACACCTACATCTTGGATGCCCTTGAGGTAAGATAAAACATACCAAAAATTAATTTCAAAGTAAACTATCTCTTTAACGTGTCTTTTCTTCTCGTCTGACCCTGCATGAGCATTTCACTGTCCAATCGTCATGCCTTAACTGCATATTCTAGTATTGCATTAGTATTGCATCCTTCTCATGGGCATTTGATAAGTTTTGACTTTTCATTCTGAGTTAAATCTCTTTTTTTGGCTAATTTTATCTGTAAAGTAAAATGTGCCTAATAATTATGCACACCTGAATAGGCGTTTTTTTTTTTTTTTTCCAGCCTCCATGAACAATTTTAAATCACTTATAAATGTGTAAATACAAAATTAATAGTAGTTATTGAGATTAGTGTGGTTTGGAATTGGTCAAATGTGCCTATATAACTGCACTGTAAATGTGTATCGCATCAACAACCAAACAATGACAGGAAATGCAATCAGATAAGGCCTATAAACAGTGTGTTAGTTACAGGCTATAAGTAATAAAATCTGATAATAAAACAGAGAAAGAAAAGATCCGTCTTACCTGTTGAGTAGGTTGTTTGTTTGTGCTGAAGGAAGGAAATGCCAGAATTATTCAAATCTTGTCATAAGTTTAGGATGGGCAGAGACAGACAGGCAAATTGAGTCTGATAACACATACTGTAGGCTATTGATGACATGTGCGTCATTGCATAGAGAATGAAAGGTGTAACACTAAATTGTTTACGTGTCATATCACAAAAGGACTGTTCTTACTGTATAGCTAATTTTTCCTGCTTTACTCATAAAGTTGTTTTTTGTTTTTTTTCATTATAAGTTTAACTGAAAAGGTAGAGTTACTGTTATATAAAGCAGACAGCACTCCAAACAATGATTTTATTGAGAGTTCACTGACATTAAAGGAAGAAAGGCAGAGAGAAAATATTCCGCTTTGGACTTTTAAATGCTTTTGAAAAAAAACATGCTGTTTCCATGCATATACTGTATATTTCACGAGTTCACACTACATACAATTAAATGAATAAAGTATAATGCGTATTTGGCTTTTTGTCAGGGGGGAGGGCTCCGAGCTCGAAATTCGTCCAAAAACTAAAACACCTGTTTGGTTTTGATCATCATCTCTATCACGATGTGTCGTGACATCATCTCATACAAAAGAAGTCCCATTTCATTGCTGGCTAGGTGCCAACCAAAAATATGACTCCTTTCCCCTTATTATTAATTTTTTAAATGTTAAAAATGTGTAAAATAATTAGTGCTTCTGTGGACGTGAGACATCAGAATGAAATATTGCAGGACTGGATATTTGAATAAGGAAACATTACAGATGTTATTCATATCTGACTAAAGCAGCAAGTTTATGCAAATATTTCCAAAAGTGAATGAAAGCAGAATGAGATATAAAGTATAAGAACAATTATTTTCTGCTAAAACGTGCAAGACTTTATATTCTGCAAATGAAAACTATAGTTTTTCTTTCAACTCAAAAATTGGCATTTACAACATGGTATAATATATGATCTGTGAGGTATTTTGAGCTGAAACTTTACAGACACATCCTGAGACTTAAATTACATATTGTGATAAAGATGCATAATTGGTCTCCTATAAAGGATAAAGGCTGGCATTGAAAGAAATAAAGGAAAAAGTCAATCTAGTTCCAAGAATTTTTTCATTGTTTATTTTTTTAGACAGGTCAATATTTTAGGATAACACACTCATTACATTTATGAACTGTCTGTGTGTCTCTGCTTACAGATTTGCAGAGTACAAATGCCTATCAACACAATTTTTTATCCACTGCGCCGCACACACCACCCATATACCCCCCCCCCCCCCGCCCATATATACCACCACCTATAATATATATATATACCCCCCCCCCCCATATATACCACCACCTATAATATATATATATACCACCACCACCCCATACAGACCACCACCCCAATATACAATACGATGTGCAATATAAAGTACAGAACATGCATCTGCATTTCTTTCTTTCTGTTTTATTGTTTTAAACATAATAGTATATTAAGCCAATTAAGCAAAAACCTGTAAATTCTGCAGAAGAAAAAACACCTGGTATAATGCTTGACATTCTGGCCCCCCCACTTTTGAAATGATCGCTTTGCCCCTGCTTCATCTCACATAAAACTCTATATTTCATTGTACAGTTTTTAGCACACCATTTGTATCGACCGTCCACCTTCTCTATGGCACCGCAGTGCTCATTTTCTGGTTGACTTCCTTCCTTCCAGTTACTCCAGTTTACCACTTGAAGTCCACTGGTCCACGTCCAGAGGCGAATCTCTTTGAGTCCCACCCAAACTGGCCCGGAGATATTCCTTCTTTTTAGCTCTCGCTCCGTTTCTATCTGATCGTTCTCAGACTCGATGCGCAGGAGTCCAGAGAAGTTGCAGTCGCAGTAATGCCGAGCGTCCTCCCAGGACATATTCTTCTCACTGACATGAATGAAGCTTTCTGAAGGAAGTAATTATATAAAAAAATAAAAATTAGTTGCATGTTTTGTTTCATATATACACTTGAATTTTAAAGCATAAAATATTGTGTTAACTTACTGTAGCACAGAGCAGAATAAGAACCATTGTTAGCTTTGAACCAATGTCCTCCTTGTGTATTGTTCTTATGACTTGAGAGATATGTAAAGCATCCTTGAGATGAACTATTCTGTTTGTAATCTGAATATCCACCATCAAACCAATCAAGGCTGTTATTGTACTGGAGGCCGATCCAGAAAGAGTCACTCCCATTCCTTGCTTCCTTCACTCGATCATTTTCCTCTTCATCTCTGATAGTGACTAGGTCAGTGTGATTCTCTCTACAGTACATCTGAGCCTCAAACCAGCTTCTGTTTTCACGGATTAAACTGTAATTGTATGATTGTTGCCCAAGACCTGAATGAATACAGACAGTAATTTTACTCCCGTGTGGCATTTAGATATTTATAAGATATAAACAGCTCAGGGATCATTACCTTGATCATAACACATGAAGTACTTTTTTGTTGAAGTACAATTGATACAGTCCCATCTTCCATCAGTGTTTATGACACCACAGCATTTTTCCTCGTTAAAAGTTGCGCTGTAATTGGTGAATGTGACAAGCTCACCGTTTGACCATTTACAGCTGCTGGCACCAATCCAACCACTCACACTATTCGTATTATTTTTGAGAATACCAATTAACTCATTATTCTCTTCTTCATCATAGATTGTGACGAGGTCAGTGTAGTTACTTCTGCAAACATTTCGTGCTTCATTTATAAGCATTCTTGAATCGATCGAGTAGAATCGTCTCAGTCGGCCCGTAGCCGTTGAAAGGGGAACGCCTGAGGACAGATATTCAGTCTTAAGTTAAATATATAAATATTTGACATATTGAAGAGAATTCATATTTTTCAAAAATATTTACAAGTGAAACTTTAATAAATGGAAATTGTAGATTATAGTGCTCACCTTGTAAAATTAAAAATATCTATAATTTCTTAATAAAATAATAAGAATACTTAATGTAGTACTATATTTTCAACATGCTTAAACATGTTTTGTGAGAGATTTTTTTTTTTCTCCATATAAAGACTGGATTAAATACTCACCCCAGAGAAGAAGCAGGACAGGTAGAAGTATCATGGTCATGCGCCGTTAGTTTTATTATATTTTATTGAATGGTCTCAATCGTATTCATGCAGTGTGATGAAAAATGTTTGTTGTTTGGTCTGTTGATTCAATGAGGAGTTTGACTGATAGTGGATTGGAGGAAATAAAAAACAGAAAAATATGAGAGAATGCAAGAAATCAAAAATGTCTCAATAATTACTTATTCATTATGATTCTCTGTTATTAATACAAAGGATAAAAACTTTTAGTTTGACACACCCAAACAGTGCAATACATTCATAATTCATATCTAAATGCGTATCGCATCAACAAACAAGCAATGACAGTAAATGCAACCAGATTTGCTTATAGGCCAACAAACAGTCTATGTTAGTATAATTTAGGCTAAGTAATAAAAACTGATCATAAAACAGAGAAAGAAAAGATCCGTCTTACCTGTTCAGCAGATCGCTTACTTGTGCTAAAGGAAGGAAATGCCAGAATTATTTAAATCATCCCATAATTTTGGGACGGGCAAGCGTAATCTGATAACACTATCTATAACAAGATTATTGATTATAGGCTGTTTCACAATCACGAAAAAGAAGTGTACTTCAAGTTAATTTTATTAAGTACTTAAGTAATGTTCAAGTATATTTTTAAGTATACATTATGTAAGTATACTAGTACTAGTAGTAAACTAGTAAGAGTACTTTTTTAGTATAAAAAAGTATGTTTAAGTGCACTTTAAGTGTAACAGTAGTATTTTAAGTGCACAACTAGTTCATAATTACGTTTCTCATTTGTATTGCAAGTGAACTTGGGTAGTAGTTTACTATTTCAATACTTGAAGCAAATGTTTTGTTGATGAAGTGTACTCTCAGTAAACTACTAGTTTAGTAGTTTTATACTACAAGTTTTCTTATAGTTACTTATAGTTTCCTATTTTTACACTAGCAGTAGACCTCTAATGTTTAAATGTTATTTTTTATACTTGAAAAATACCTTTAACTACTTTAATTTAAAAACATTTTATTAGCTTCATGCATTTTTTTAAATCAACACTTGAATGTTGGTAAGTTTAATAATGAAAGGCAACATTTCATCTCATCCGCCGAAGTCCTGCACGTGTTAACTAGAGAATAACTTTATAACACAGAGCGTGCTATCATTATGTTTCATTAATGCAGGAAGAAGTACTTTAGAAACCAGCCTTTATTAATTATTATGGCAGAGATGGGGTTTGGGGCTGGGTCATGGGGCTGGGTCAGTGGGGCTGGGTCAGTGGGACTGTTTCTGGTGGGGAATGAGTCTGAGGGAAGAACAGGAGACATGGGAGAATGCAGAAGACAAAAGGTAGGTGAAATAAAAAGTGTCTGGATCAAAAAATCGAGTTACGTACACAATGCACTCCATGCCCAAACCCCATCTCTGCAATAATAATTAATAAAGGTTGCATGGTTTCTTCTTCCTGTATTAATGTTCATAAATGGGTTCCATTCAGATCTTAACATTAAGTCTTTTATATGTCAACAAGATTAAAAAAAAAAACATTTTCACCTGCTATACCCAATGTTTAGATCTGTTAGGGAAATTATTCAAATTAGCTAATACGTAATTATATCATGCACCGTTTGTCCATGTTAACAAACAATTTCGAAAAACTTGTAATACGTTTTTTATTTGTCTTGATGTAAGTAATCAACTCAGTGATTTTCATGATGATATCTAAAGGTTAAATTTTTTACCCTTTTCACATGAGAAAAAGAATGAATATGCGAATGAATGGGATATTTGGGTCTTTTTCTAAACTTTCTCCTAATGAGATTCTTCAAGGCTTTTTTTCTTACTCAAGACATATTGAGGATACAAAATCAGTTGAGTTTGCTTCTGTTGCAATTTGTTCAACCTTTTTTAATCAAATGACTGGACTATATGATCTGTGAGGTATTTTGAGCTGAAATTCACAGACACATCCTGAGACTTATATTACATATTGTGATAAAGATGCATAATTGGTCTCCTATAAAGGATAAAGGCTGGCATTAAAGGAAATAAAGGAAAAAGTCAATGTAATTTCTAGAATTTTTTCATTGTTTATTTTTTTAGGCAGGTCAATATTTTAGGATAACACACTCATTACACTTATGAACTGTCTGTGTGTCTCTGCTTACTTATAGATTTGCAGAGTACAAATACCTATCAACACAATATTATCAATAAATGTATTCAATGATATAATATGCATTCATGAACAACTTTTAATTTTCATTTGAGACATAAAGGTTTACAAAGGTAAAATAAATGAGATAAACATGAAAACCATTAAGGCTAAGCTGGATAACATTAAGTAGCAACTTGTGGTTAGTTTAGAGAGCTTTGTTATACAAGACATAAAGATAGAGCAGTTTATTGTTGAACACATCCGCATTTTTCCTCTTGTTTAGGAGGCAGAGAATCAAAAACTGCATGATAAACTGAAAGGGCCTATATTACTTCATCTCACATAAAACTCTATATTTCATTGTACAGTTTGTATCACTCCATTTGTATCGACCGTCCACCTTCTCTATGGCACCGCAGTGCTCATTTTCTGCTTGACTTCCTTCCTTCCAGTTTCTCCAGTTTACCACTTGAAGTCCACTGGTCAACAACCAGAGGCGAATCTCTTTGAGTCCCACCCAAACTGGCTCGGTGATATTCCTTCTTTTTAGCTCTCGCTCCGTTTCTATCTGATCGTTCTCAGACTCGATGCGCAGGAGTCCAGAGAAGTTGCAGTCGCAGTAATGCCGAGCGTCCTCCCAGGACATATTCTTCTCACTGACATGAATGAAGCTTTCTGAAGGAAGTAATTATATATATAAAAAAATTAGTTGCTTGTTTTGTTTCATATATACACTTGAATTTTAAAGCATAAAATATTGTGTTAACTTACTGTAGCACAGAGCAGAATAAATACCAATGTTAATTTTGAACCAATATCCTCCGTGTTCATTGTTCTTGCTTGAGAGAAATGTAAAGCATCCTTGAGATGAACTATTCTGTTTGTATTCTGAATATCCACCATCAAACCAATCAAGGCTGTTATTGTACTGGAGGCCGATCCAGAAAGAGTCATTCCCATTCCTTGCTTCCTTCACTCGATCATTTTCCTCTTCATCTCTGATAGTGACTAGATCAGTGTGATTCTTTCTACAATACATCTGAGCCTCAAACCAGCTTCTGTTTTCATGGATTAAACTGTAATTGTATAATTGTTCCCCATGACCTGAATGAATACAGACAATAATTTAACTCACGTGTGGCATTTAGATATTTATAGGATATAAACAGCTCAGGGATCATTACCTTGATCATAACACATGAAGTACTTTTTTGTTGAAGTACAATTGATACAGTCCCATCTTCCATCAGTGTTTATGACACCACAGCATTTTTCCTTGTTAAAAGTTGCGCTGTAATTGGTGAATGTGACAAGCTCACCGTTGGACCATTTACAGCTGCTGGCACCAATCCAACCACTCACACTATTCGTATTATTTTTGAGAATACCAATTAACTTATTATTCTCTTCTTCACCATATATTGTGACGATGTCAGTGTAGTTACTTCTGCAAACATTTCGTGCTTCATTTATAAGCATTTTTGTATCGATCGAGTAGAATCGTCTCAGTCGGCCCGTAGCCGTTGAAAGGGGAACGCCTGAGGACAGATATTCAGTCTTAAGTTAAATATTTAAATATTTGACATATTGAAGAGAATTCATATTTTTCAAAAATATTTACAAGTGAAACTTTAATAAATGGAAATTATAGATTATAGTGCTCACCTTGTAAAATTAAAAATATCTATAATTTCTTAATAAAATAATAAGAATACTTAATGTAGTACTATATTTTCAACATGCATAAACATGTTTGTAAGAGATTTTTTTTTCCATATAAATACCATAATTCTCACCCCAGAGAAGAAGCAGGACAGGTAGAAGTATCATGGTCATGGGATTATTGAATGGTCTGAATCGTATTCATGCAGTGTGACGAAAAATGTTTGTTGTTTGGTCTGTTTGACTGAAAACCAAAAAATATGAGAGAATGCAAGAAATCAAAAATGTCTCAATAATTGCTTATTCATTATGATTCTCTGTTATTAATACAAAGGATAAAAACTTCTTATTTGACATACCAAAACAGAGCAAGAAATTCATAATTGACCAAACAAGCAATGACAGGCAATGCTATCAGATTCAAACAGTCTAGTATAATTTAGGCTAAGTAATAAAAACTGATCATAAAACAGAGAAAGAAAAGATCCGTCTTACCTGTTGAGCAGATCGCTTGCTTGTGCTGAAGGAAGGAAATGCCAGAATTATTTAAAGGAGCAATGTGTGATTTTTAGCGACATCTAGTGGTTCGGTTGCGAGTTTGCACCAGGTTTGCACTAAGGGCTCAGCCCACTGCTCACCCCTCCCTTTCGAAGAAGCTACGGTTGCTAAAACGGGACAAACATCTCGTCGGCTGAGACAGCAGAGAATAGCCAAAGTAAGCCAAGAGTGTGTAACATTGTCACTGTTTCTGTACCACAGTCCATTATAAAACACATCATGAATACTGTTTACAAAGCCATAGTCAGGTGAGGATCAAGGGTTTTAATATATAATTTAATAAAATAATAATAATCAGCTGATTGTCTCACAAACGTAACCAGCAGCACATTTATCCCCACATACTGTACCAACCCCATAATACAGCGAGGGAGCAGCTATATATTTTTTCTAACAGGGTAGTAATAGTTTAGCTGGCTAATATGAGCTGTTACTGTGGCTGAACTGGGACGCGTCCGCATCGCATGAGTCCAAAGGTCGGAACTGCACGCGCTGTTACAATCATGTCATCTCCGCATCCCATAGATCAGAGGTCTCAAACTCGCGGCCATTTGCGGCCCGCGGGATGATATTTTGTGGCCCCCTACTTGATATTAAAGTTTAATGTTAGTGCGGCCCGCCGTTGCGTTTGCCGCGTTTTTTTAAATTATTATTATTTTTATCCCTTATGGGCTACCATATATAGTCTTGTGACAGCTTAGCGTGGGTTTGTTGTCAATAGTTGTCATAGACAACCACGAAGTACAAATATACTGCGCCTGGAAAAAATGAGCGCGTCGCTTCAATTATGAGCGCGCTCGGCGCTTGATGCGCGCCTACGTTTGAAACGTACTTGAGCGTGCAAAATATGTGAGCGCGATATGTGAGCAGGCGAGCTACCACCACCAAATCAGGCCACAGCTACTGATAGCTCGCGAGCGGCGTGTTGAATACCCCTGCTCTAAAACAATGTGAGAATAATCATTTTGAGCTTGTAATAGGGCTGGGCGATATATCGAGTTTGTACGATGTATCGTTATATTTTTTGAAACGATATGGAATGAGGCAATACCGTTTATATCGATACAGTAGTTTGATATGAGCACATCTGAAAAATAGCGGAGGTTGCAGTGTGAGCTGCTGCAGTGAAAGTAGCTAGGCTACGTAGTACAATTTGTCCTAAACATGACACAAGCTTATATTAATTGCGTCAAAATCACTTTGATATAGTTAACAAGTTTAAGGCAGCTTGCCGCCCTGTCAAATGCTCTGACAGACACTGTTGCTGACTGACAAGATATACTTGCGCTGTTTAATGCGTTTGAGATGTGGTGCTTTCCTCAGTGCTTAACTTACATTTCACAGGTATATTCTCCATCTGTAAATGTTAGAAAGTAAAGCAAATATGTCCATTTCACAACAAATATGTCCATGTCAGAAGAGGACGAGTTTCTGCAAGTGAATCTCCGCTAAAATTCATGCTTCCTTGAACGAGCGCCGGCGCGCGCATGCGCGTGAATAGTACTACGTAGTACGCAATAATTCTGACTAAAATAAACATATTGCTAAAATATTTGTTGTTGGTGAAAATAAATGTGCCATGTGGAATTTTAAATCTAAAAGTATATATTTTTAATGAAAGTGAAAGTAATTATAATGGGGTAATCAAATGCAGGCTAATATAATAGTTTGTGCTTTTGTTTTTATTTTCATTTTTAGTTTAGCCTTTAGTCAATATAAAAACAAAAGCTTTTTGCACATAATATATTGCATAGCCTATATTATATTTGTTTCCATATCCTTCAATATCAACATTGTTTGTAGGATATCATTGGGCCGAATGTGAATATATATATATATATATATATATATATATATATATATATATTTAATATAAAGATTTTCTTTATCTAAATAGAAAACGTAGAAAGTACCGAGATATATATCGTATATCGCCATTTGACCAAAAAATATCGAGATATGATTTTTTGGCCATATCGCCCAGCCCTAGCTTGTAATATGTGTTGTGTCTGAACGCGTTCAATGAACGATAGTTAATGAACTCGTTCATATTTTGGGCGAACGTGAACTGAACGTAGCCTACTGTATTACTGCCTGATGAACGTTACAGTGAACTCGTTCATTCAAATGGTTGTGAACCGAGGAGCCGTCGTAAGATCATTTAAAAGGCTTTTATGAGGTTGGTGAGGATGGGAAAATCTTACATGTCTGTGCAAACTTTGCCCGTCGATAAAATGATTGTTATCTGTGGTTGTGTATGGGTTGTGGCAATAATAATAGCCTAATAATAAAAAAAGAAGCTCGCAGCAACATATGGGAAAAAAAAGAACTAGTTCATTTTAAAATTTGTGAATTGAACCTTGAACTAGTTCATGTAATGGTTGATAAGAAGGTTTGCTTTGATATGTGCAAAGTCAGTAATTTGCCTGAGACACTATACATGTGTAGAAAGAATTATTTGTATTTCAAAAGCAGTAATTGTTTTTCTAAGTATAATAAAAGGAAATGTGCCTTTTGGAAAAAAACAACAACAATATAATAGTGTTGTATAAAGAAAATAAAAAGCAAATATGACTATCATCACAACAAAGATGTTGTGTATAAGAAAAAGACAAAGAAAGTTTGTAAAATTAACTTGAACTGTCAGAAGGACAGCTCATGAAGAACCAATCAAGTACAGAAAGGAATGTTCAAATTCAGAGGAACAGTTCAGAAGAAACGTTAATAATAAAGATTGAGAAGATTGGATCAGTTGTGCTCCATTTTTGGAATACTTAAATACATTTTTTTAATTTTTTGGAATACTTGATGCGGCCCAGCCTGACCCAGACTCTATTTCCAGCGGCCCCCAGTTCATTTGAGTTTGAGACCCCTGCCATAGATACTATTTACTACACACAATAGGCTTTTTTTCTCTGATTTTGAAAAATCTTCGCGATCGACTTTAGTGATAAAAGACTTTAGTAAAAGTCTCTATCGACGGGTTAGTGATTCCTGTAACGTACTGTTTTACGGTCAATGACATGAATACTAATCATCAGCTGTCTCACGAACGTAACAGCACATCTATCCCCAACATAACAAACCCATAACACAGCGAGGGAGAACTAAGTTACATGAAACAATCCCAACTACATATTTTACACCACTCACAAGGGAAAAGTCACTACTCACGGAGTGTAAGGCTAGCTTCCAGCTTTCCGCTAATTCTCTTTCAAGTGATGAAACGCGTTCTGTAGCACTGTGTGTTCGCGTTCGGCTACGGTAGGAATATGACGTCACAACATGGCGACCTTCATAGAAGGGGATTCCCGCGGTTATGGAGCTATTAATGTCTCATTCTAAGGTAATAAAAACATTACGGTTAATTAAGTTAGTTCTCTATACACCACTGAAAACATAGTTATGGATGTCATATTGCATTTCTGTTAATAGATACTCAACTTTGTTACACATTGCACCTTTAAATCATCCCATAATTTTGGGACGGGCAAACTTAATCTGATAACACTATATATAACAAGATTATTGATTATGTACTGTTTCACAATCACGAAAAAGAAGTGTACTTCAAGTTAATTTTATAAAGTACTTAAGTAATGTTAGTTCATAATTACGTTTCTCATTTGTATTGCAAGTGAACTTGGGTAGTAGTTTACTATTTCAATACTTGTAGCAAATGTTTTGTTAATGAAGTGTACTCTCAGTAAACTACTAGTTTAGTAGTTTTATACTACAAGTTTACTTATAGTTACTTATAGTTTACTATTTTAACACTAGTAGTAGACCTCTAATGTTTAAATGTTATTTTTTATACTTGAAAATTACCTTTAACTACTTTAATTTAAAAACATATTATTAGCTTCATGCATTCTTTTTT